GAAATTGAAGTATTCAGCAGCAGGGCAAAGAGAACTACAGTACATGAATACAGAGAAGACTGTCCTTATGGTAATTCTGGCAGATGGCATAAGGTTGCAAGCAAGTAATAGAAAATTTTAAAACTAATGAAACAAGATTAGCATAGGCCATTCCATTAGTATTTCTCCTCCCAGACAGTTCAGTCCTGATTATATTTTATATCCTCGTGGAATTAAAGCACTGTACTTGCTGGCTGCAAAGGGAAATTAAACCAGGCTACTGTTTGTGGATGATTAACTTGCATTTCATTTCAGACTAAATGTATATGCTGGAGCCCTTTGGAGCCACAGACAGACCCTTTTCTTATGGGGAATTTGAGCAGCAGGATGTAGGGTCCAGTACTTCATCTTAGGTGAAATCAACTGGGTAACCACAGACAGACAAATCAAGACTTTCATGAACGCTCCCAAATTTATATGGTTTCACTGCATGAGAGATGTTGCCAACAAAATATGGTTAGGGAAAGCTGTGGGACTCCAAGATCTGTTTCTCCCATGCACTGGAAAGGGCTGCTTGCTAATGTCTGTGTCACCCACCACTAACACACCCCTCCCCATGGTGGCAAGGCCGTTCATTGATGCTATTCCTGCTCCCCGTGCTGTAATCATTTGCTGCTGGTTGTCATCTCCAGAGGCTCAGATCTCCCCAGCTTTAGACCCCGAACAGAGGAAGCTGGGCTGGGACAATGTCACCTCGCACTCAGCAGGCAGGTGGAGAGGAGCCAAGTGAGAAGCAGCAGCTGCTGCTGAACTTGCTCTTGCTGGAGATGCCTCTCCTTCTCCATCAGAGGCAGAAGCAGCCCGTGGTGACCACAGTGCTGACTTCAGCTCTCCCCGAAGGAGGATGAAGCTGTATGATGCAGAGTTACCTATTTTGTTCGTGCTGAATAATCTTCTTTTGGCCCTTCTTACACCAAGCAATCTACACACCTGTGGGCTGTGACTCCTGTTGCCTTATCCCTGCTCCCACATTCTGGAGGAAATTTATAGATGCATCAATACAATTTCTTAGAGTGAAATGACCCTTAAATAAAGTAAATGTTGGGAATTAATGGGGGAACTGATCTCTTTTTGCTGCTGAAAAACAATGAATACCTTATTGGTGCATTCTATTAAAAAGAGCCTGAAAATAAATTATATGCTGCTCTTATGATGAGAGTCATGCAGATTTATATTACTATTATAAATAATTATACAGTTATTCAAAGTAATTTTGTTATTGACTTTTGGGGCTTATCACACAAAGGAACAAGGGCAGTGACCTGATCTTTCATATGAAAAATAAAGACACATAAACTGTCTAACCAGCCACTTCACTATGCATGGAGAATAAAACCATTTTTATGCAAATAGTATCTGAGACCAAAATGCCTTTTTCCTTCACCTCCTTTCTACTTCATTATTAAATAAATCACAAAGATGTCACTGGAGACCACATAGAAAGAGGTCTCAAACTGTAGAAATAAGAGCTTTCTGCCCTTGTCTATTTTTAATTTCAAAAGGTATTCTGAATTAAAAAAAAAAAAAAAAAAAAGAGATGGGAAAGAAAGCATAGTGCTCTTCATATGCCTGATTTCCCAGGAATAAAAACAACCTCTGTGTCCTTTAATAATAATGCAAGTTTTCAAAAACAGACACAAGTAAATGAAGATTAAACTATGATCCATGAACTTGAGATTCGCATTGTCCACTGCTTTTCAAATTCAAATTACTACCAGACAGTGAATCTTTTTGCTAATTAATGCAGCTAAAGTGTAGATGATAACTTCTATCCCCTCCTTTTTAATTTTTTTAATGGAGAGATATTTTTCTGGAAGTTCTGCACGTCAAAGCTGAATAATAATTTGTCATTTTTCATAGATGCTCCATATCATGTACAGTGCTGAGACTACAGTGTAGAAAGTGAGCAGGCAAAACCAATCATCTTTGTGTTGAAGAATAGATCAACATTGAATTTTTCTGTCATTTGAGCAAACACCCAAAAGTAACTACAGTTGGTTTGAGTCAGAGGTTTTTGGTTTTCAGTAAATAACATTAAATATCCCAGCTGTAATACAGAATTCTCTGTAGATCAGTCATATCACACTGAAAATTGAACACACATGAATGTCTTAACTAAGAGGGGCACAAATTTGGAGCTGGAAGATAGTCATGGATATTGTCTACCAAAAAAGGGGTTATCCAGAAGAGATGTTATGGAATAGTTAAGGTTTAGATTACAGAGTTTGTATTTGGGACAACTTCATTTGGTAGTGAAGTTCTTCTTCCTTGATCTTGTGGATATTTCAGCCCTTAATGTGACCTAAGGAAAAAAAGCTTTTGTCTAGACTGGGTGGGATTCCTGCAAAGGCTGCATTTCAGGGCCATGATTGGTGCTCCATGCTGACTGGGAATGTGGGAGAGATGGCTTTGAACAGTGGTGGGACCTGAAGGGAATGTGGGGTGTGCTGTGTGAGCTGGGGTGTGAGGGGACCCTTCCCACTATGTCCATGGGGACCTCTGGAGAGTGGGGCTCGAGCCATCCACCCAAGGGAGCACAGGTGGTTTTGCTTTCTGAGGTGATCCTGGCAGCAGGATTATTCAGTGGATTTGTTTTCCTGACCTTAACCCCTCTGATGACAATTATTACTCTGCAGCTCTTCGTTCCCTAGTTGTTGGACTGAACAAGCTTGGTGTTCTTCGCATCTGTCAACCAACAGATTCTCCATCCTGCTGGTCATCTGAACAACAACTGAAATACAAGCCCATATATCTGCAAGAGTAAATGTCTCTTCATTTCGAACCAGGGAGATGCAATATTTAACCATGCAGGAGTAAGCTGAAGGGTGGTATTTGTGAGGAGAAAGAAATGATTTAGGCAGCTTGTGTTGTGAACTAGCATGAGGTTTTTGGATAGGAAGAAAGGGAAAAAGTCCTTTAAAGCTACGTAGGAACATCACCAGATATACTATTTGAACTGTTAGTTAATGGTAAAATGAAATATTTCCTACCCATGAAAGTACAAATCATGTATTGAATCAGATTCCAAAGGCGATGTAGTATGATAAGAAATGCCAAAAGTGTTATGCAGAATGCTAACTCCTGTGAGAAAATAAGAAGAGTGCTTCACCAGTGTTGTCATCACATGAACTAGTCATTAGCACTATGTTCCGTGAAAAAGCTCTGTTTCCACAGCACTTTTCCATTATATACTTTAATTAGAAGAAAGGAGTAAATACAGTGGTGTGAAGAACATCAGCTGGGGTTTAAAAAGAAAGGGAGTATAGCACTTCAGAGTGGGTTTTGAATTAAAAAAAAAAAAAAAAAGGAGATGGGAAAGAAAGCATAGTGCTCTTCATATGCCTGATTTCCCAGGAATAAAAACAACCTCTGTGTCCTTTAATAATAATGCAAGTTTTCAAAAACAGACACAAGTAAATGAAGATTAAACTATGATCCATGAACTTGAGATTCGCATTGTCCACTGCTTTTCAAATTCAAATTACTACCAGACAGTGAATCTTTTTGCTAATTAATGCAGCTAAAGTGTAGATGATAACTTCTATCCCCTCCTTTTTTATTTTTTTAATGGAGAGATATTTTTCTGGAAGTTCTGCACGTCAAAGCTGAATAATAATTTGTCATTTTTCATAGATGCTCCATATCATGTACAGTGCTGAGACTACAGTGTAGAAAGTGAGCAGGCAAAACCAATCATCTTTGTGTTGAAGAATAGATCAACATTGAATTTTTCTGTCATTTGAGCAAACACCCAAAAGTAACTACAGTTGGTTTGAGTCAGAGGTTTTTGGTTTTCAGTAAATAACATTAAATATCCCAGCTGTAATACAGAATTCTCTGTAGATCAGTCATATCACACTGAAAATTGAACACACATGAATGTCTTACCTAAGAGGGGCACAAATTTGGAGCTGGAAGATAGTCATGGATATTGTCTACCAAAAAAGGGGTTATCCAGAAGAGATGTTATGGAATAGTTAAGGTTTAGATTACAGAGTTTGTATTTGGGACAACTTCATTTGGTAGTGAAGTTCTTCTTCCTTGATCTTGTGGATATTTCAGCCCTTAATGTGACCTAAGGAAAAAAAGCTTTTGTCTAGACTGGGTGGGATTCCTGCAAAGGCTGCATTTCAGGGCCATGATTGGTGCTCCATGCTGACTGGGAATGTGGGAGAGATGGCTTTGAACAGTGGTGGGACCTGAAGGGAATGTGGGGTGTGCTGTGTGAGCTGGGGTGTGAGGGGACCCTTCCCACTATGTCCATGGGGACCTCTGGAGAGTGGGGCTCGAGCCATCCACCCAAGGGAGCACAGGTGGTTTTGCTTTCTGTGGTGATCCTGGCAGCACAGTGAATACCACAGTATTCAGTGGATTTGTTTTCCTGACCTTAACCCCTCTGATGACAATTATTACTCTGCAGCTCTTCGTTCCCTAGTTGTTGGACTGAACAAGCTTGGTGTTCTTCGCATCTGTCAACCAACAGATTCTCCATCCTGCTGGTCATCTGAACAACAACTGAAATACAAGCCCATATATCTGCAAGAGTAAATGTCTCTTCATTTCGAACCAGGGAGATGCAATATTTAACCATGCAGGAGTAAGCTGAAGGGTGGTATTTGTGAGGAGAAAGAAATGATTTAGGCAGCTTGTGTTGTGAACTAGCATGAGGTTTTTGGATAGGAAGAAAGGGAAAAAGTCCTTTAAAGCTACGTAGGAACATCACCAGATATACTATTTGAACTGTTAGTTAATGGTAAAATGAAATATTTCCTACCCATGAAAGTACAAATCATGTATTGAATCAGATTCCAAAGGCGATGTAGTATGATAAGAAATGCCAAAAGTGTTATGCAGAATGCTAACTCCTGTGAGAAAATAAGAAGAGTGCTTCACCAGTGTTGTCATCACATGAACTAGTCATTAGCACTATGTTCCGTGAAAAAGCTCTGTTTCCACAGCACTTTTCCATTATATACTTTAATTAGAAGAAGGGAGTAAATACAGTGGTGTGAAGAACATCAGCTGGGGTTTAAAAAGAAAGGGAGTATAGCACTTCAGAGTGGGTTGAGTAAAATCACATGCAGGAAAAATACAAAGGTGAAGTTCACATACTTGAAAATGATCACTGCCCCTTGACAGCAGTCATTTCCTTTGTGACATAGACACATCTCAGCTCAGGTCCTTAAATCTGACCACAGCATCATCTCATGGCATCACCCTCACTCGGTTACTCTTTTTCTATTCTTCTGCACATTTCTGCTTCTTGCGCTTTCCTATCTCTTGCTGTGTCTCCAGCCCATTGGCAATCCCATCCTCAGCCGTTTCCCTTGCTCCTTTCTCCCACATCACCAGAACCATGAGCTACTCTTCTCCACATCCTCCTCCTTCTTCCAAAATGCCAGTGTCACCTGTGATCTGGGAAAATATCAAGATGCAGCACCCCCAAACTCACATGCCAGCAAGAACTGACATCTTTCCTATGTGCCTCTTTTTGCTCCTGGTACCCAGTGAAGGAAGCTGGGTACCAGGCTGCTGTTGTTTTTCAGAGAGCTGCCCACATCAAACACAAGTTTTGTTCCTTTTCTTGTTGCTGAGACTGAGAGGTGCAGACCACACTTAGGCAAGCTCCCAGAAAATTAACCTAGTACAGAATTTTCCTACCTATTGTGAGATTAGGGTGCCTGGTCATCAGTGTAACCGATAAGAGGAAACAGCACCAATAAATTTCACTGTGAATTTACTTTTTGCCAGTTCATTTCAAATATACTTAAGAAGAAAATGTCATAGTAGATTTGATAATTTTAAAGTACTTGTGTTTTTAATTCCACTCAAATATTCTGAAATCAAACCCTGACTTGAAAAATAACCACTGAAATTTAGTGGTCAAATGTTGCTTTTGTTAAGAAAGTCAGCCACCAAATTCAAGTATCACTGACTGAAACCTCTAGCAGAAGATAAATGCCCCTTTTATAAGATCTCTGTGAACTCCTCCTAACTTTTTGCCTGGCACATGATTGTTTATCTATTGTCATACAATTGTTGACTATATAGCTGCTTATGTATGCTATATAGTTATCTCCAGACTTAAAGGAAACAGCATGAAATCCTTAATACCCACTTTTTCTTTCTCTCTCTCTCACACACAGACACACACATAACCTCTTCTCATTGCACACAAACAGGTAATTGCTTTGTTAAAACATGCAGCTAGAAGCTGTAAATTACCATGGTTTGATTTACAGAGTGCTGCTCATGAGCTGGTCACCAGACACTGGAGCAGGACCTGGTGCAGTGTGCAAATCCTTGCACAGCTCCCTCAACTCTGTTCCTTGTATCTTTGGGCCACGTGGAATTTGTATACATGTGCTGGAGGAGGATTATTCAAATTCAGGTTATACCAACTCTAATATTGTCATTTTAAGGAAAACACCCTCCTGTGCTCAACACATCAGTATCTGTTATCCCGTCATGCTGCTGAGTGTCTAACCCTGAACTGAAATGTATCATCTTCATGCTCTCTTTTAATCAAGTCTCCAGAATCCTTGGAGCAAACCCTCTGCCACAGATCTGAACCCAGGAAATCACACTCCTTACTGAGAGGCAACCAAACACACAGGAAGGCTCTGGGTGTTTGCATAGCTTCGTGTTCACAAGGGGAAGTACTCCAGGTGCAGCCACAGAGCTGCAGAAGGCGAAGCCAAGCCATAGCTGCTCAACCAGTCACAGTAGGACAGCACATACACAGACTGTCAGCAGGTGATGAGATAAATCTCAGGCACAGGATTTTTCTGCCACTAACACATGCAAATATCTGATGTGCAGCGACATCACTGGCCTCTCCAATAGCTCCTGTGCATGAGTAATTTGGATTACAGCTGGCACAAGCAAGGTGCACTGGCAGGTAAGCACAAGCAACAACCAGCATGCTGCTTTTGAAGCTATAGTCAGCCTGTCACACATTGAAACCATCTACAAATCCAGTGGATTTGCTGAAACGACAATTTGTGCTGTTTTCGTATTTTTGAAATTGTTCTTATTCTTTAGCATGCAGAGGAAAATGAAGTCACATTTTCCTTAACAATTGGTGTTCCCGCCTTGCTGCATGTCACAGCCCTCTGGGGTGACTTCGGGAGCACTGACCTTGGACGTCGCTGCAGTGGCATTACTTTCCTTACCACTCCCTGGTGCACTCTCCTCGATTGTTGCTGCTGTCGGGGCTTCTGCCTTCTTTGCACTTGTTTCCAGAGAAACAGGAGTCCCTACTTTCCCCAGCCCACTCACCGGGCTTGAGCTTGGACTGCTTGGTTGCCGTGACTGGGACTTATACCAGCTAGGGTAAAACAAGGGATCGATGGTTTCTGCTGTGGCCGGCACTTGAGTGTCAGACTCGGGAGTCTGTTGAGAACCACTTGGTGTCACAACAACATCCTTAATCAGGACAGATAAAGAGAAGAACAAGCAGAGTGCACCACGTTACCTTCCTGCTGTAGTCACATTGTTCTGCATGTTGTGTTTGTTAGATATCACTGCAAGGCATAGGTTTGTCCTACTAATATGATCTGAAAGAATTGCAATCAAAATGCAAAGCAAAAGCAACTATCATTTGAATAACACAGACAAGAGAAAGAAAATAAATGAACCCAAAACCAGAACAGGAGGGTAGAACTAGCTGGGAAGGGGGTGCTAACTGAGAAAGGAATGAGCAAGGGGTTCTTCAATTCAGATAAACCCTCAATTCAATTCTAAAAACTTAAGAAGTTCTGCATAAGATTCTCATGAACCCATACCAGCCATGAATGACAGATGTAGGTACCTTCAAATGGCTTGTTGGGTTTTAGGTTACGAATAACACTTTAGCCAATGAGTCTGTTGATACAAGCAGTCAGAATAAAGGGAATACTGGAGAGAAGCATTTGCCCATGAACCTTGCCAGCAATGCTGTAAGCCAAGCACTGTTGCTCTGCCAGGAAGAGGAGCAGCTGGATGAACTGCATCTCTCTACCTGTGTCAAGATCTTGGGGTTTCTGCACACACAGTCTGCTATCGCCACTGCATTTCTGCCTTGCCTTTTTACACCAGAAGGCAAAAACTCAAATACAGGTATCCCCCACACCACAACAACCACATACCATGTCTGACTCCCTGCCTGGCTATCTCCTAATGGCATTTTACAATTTCTGTACCTTTCTCCCTTAAGCCTTAGAAATTAGAGAATTCATCTTGGTGGGCAGAATTGCTTATGCCTAGTTCTTGTTTGCATAACACCCTGCATCAGTCAGGGGACACAAGTTTAGTTAATACAGTGCAAATCTTCAAATTTTGATTTAATCAGTAAAGGCTGATTTAAGAGCGTCTTCACATGACTGATGAAAACCCACACATGTTTTTAGATCAAAGAAATAAAGACTTTATATCCTTTATTTTCACTTGTTTTATGTGGGGAGCTTGCTACAATCAAAGATCCCTTGTGTGCTTCCTTGTTTTCACATAGGCCTCCTCAAATACATTCACAGCAGCTTTTACCCCTCAGCAACTTCACTGAGTAAATTGTCTAAGAGGAGAATTTGCTAAGTTAATGGTATGCAAGGCAAACTAAAGTAGCAGAGGAAGTATATTTTTAATGTACATATTTTAGAATATGCAGCAATTATAATCTCATTCTAATCAAATTCCCTAAGAAAAGTGTTGGCCTAAAATATTCACAGCCTGAACCTGTTTGCTGTTAGGTTGTAAGAGGCAGTTTCCTCTCAGGTTTGGTGTATGATATTTCTGCATCTACCTAGACATATCCCAAAGATGATCAGAGCAGAAGGCAGCAAGTGCCATTCACAGAAAACAGATTAAAAGTATAATCTAAAAACTGGTAGTGGAAAGCTTCCTAAATCCAGAGGGAATGCCAAATTCTCTTAGTATAGATATTTTAACAGTCATCTCATTTATAACAGTTAGTCTGAGTTAAATCACAGCAAGCAGAACATTTGTTGTAATACACTTAACTCCCAAACAGTCTTTTTTATTTATCACTTATGTATCCCATATATATCTTGATTTGTCTAGCAGCTAATTTTTTGCTTATCAAGTGACACGTGCACATGTTGAAGTAAAGTTGCATATATGTGTACAAGGGCAATAAATAATTTTTCCCTCCAATGCACCGACTCCCTTAGCCTTGCTCCTGAGCTATGGTGCCCACAGGACAGCGGGGAGCATTTCCTGGCTCTGCCAGGTGCACTCAGCAAAGCTGGCAGGGCAGTGGGGCAGCAGAGACATTTACCTGACCAGCTGGGGCAGCCAGCACTGGTGCTGGAGTGGGTTCAGCCGGGGGCTCTCCCCCTGCACTCTGTGCTTCAGGGTCCTGCTGAGGTGCTTGTGGTGCTCCCTCTGACCCTTCCTCTTCCACCTCTTCCTCCTCTTCCTCCTCTCCTGATGACTCTGTGTGGACTTCGCCCAAGCCTTCGCCATCCTCTGTCTCCTCCTCTTCTTCTTCTCCCTCCTCCTCTGATAGGACAGGTGTAAAATGACAGGATGAGCACCATGTGAAGACGGCTTCAGACTTTAAGTAATTAAAAAGCCGTTTGCAACTGCATGGCAAAGTCACTGACAGTATTCTGCCTGGCAGAGAGGGTGTTGGTGAGGAACCTGCTCCCACCAGCCTGGACTTGGCACTGCCATAGAGCTGCCAGCAGGAGCTTTGGGGCAGGGAAGACACTGAACACACATGCTGGTTAAAATCTTAAGCTGCCCCTTTCCATGGGAAGGAGGACAGAAATTCCTGTCAATGCAGTTATCCTCATGAGGGATGTGCAGCACAGCCCTGCATGTTTTGGGAAGAGGCTGCCTGGGATCTGGCACAATCTGTAATGAATAAAGTCCTTTTTCCAATTCTAGGTATATGTTTAATGCCATTGAAACTGTCCTCACAATTCTTTACTGGGTCAGTGCTTTGCAATGCATGACTGGAAGTTTGAGATGTCAGCATGCCTAAACCAGACTGTCAAACTTGGTCAAACCACTGCTTTCGTGCCATCTGACAAATCCTGTGGACTGCAGTCGTGGCTCAGGTTGTTTCCAGAGGAAGGCCTCTAGCACTGGATTTTCTTTTGTATAATCACACTAGTTATCCTAAAAAATTTGCAGGGCCCTCCTAGCACTTCAGAGCAATAAACCCAGATTTGATTATAATTGATACATAATGCTCTGGTTACATTTTGGCATAGAGAGAAATATCTGATTTGAGGTTTCCTACTCAGTACCATCATGTGAATCACACACAGCTGCTATATATGAAAGAAATTTTGGTGAAATAAATTATATACCTCTGTCAAAATCAATTTCTCGTATTATTTTTTCTTCTCTACTGAGGTTCACTGTGAATTGGTTCATATTCTCATACCCATCCTCTATTTTTTCCATTTGAAATCCTTTAGAAGCTTCAGTAATTCTAAAATAGAGATTGGTTATTGGCATTGGATTTGAAGATAAATTTATAAATTGTAAGTGATTATAAAAAAAAGAGTCTCAAGTTTAAATACTTACTTTTGTAGCAATGTTTTGGCATTCTGTAGAAACAAAAAAGAAATAACTGACTTCTTAAATGGTTCCATTTTTTTCAGAGATTTTATGCATTGAGAAATAATTCTTACAATGGCAGTTTTTAAAAGCACTAATAAGAATTTCATAAGTGACAGCCATGACATCTAGGAATGAGATTAAATTTGGATGGTAATTTCATGGTTCCCTACTCATCTCTCTTAAATTTACAGTAAGAAAACAAAAGAAAAAAAAAAGTAAATGTATCAAATGCAGCTTAACACATAAATTATTGAAAATTAATGATTTTGTCAATTTACTAGTGAAACCTGTAATTCCCAGAAGTTCATGTACACATGAACATATTGTCCCACCATGGCATTGGTGGGAAAATAAAGATTACCTGGAAAATGTTTGGATTCCTATTTCTTCTAAGGGGACCAGAAATTCATGCACAGGATAATACATTTTGTTGCAAATAGCAAATACTCGTGTTCTTGATTTGGATACTATGCACAAGAAGAGCAGTTATTTGTCTGAGCTGATTCAGGTGTTTAAAAAATGAGTTTGTATTCATGTTCACTTGAAGACAAACAAACTCTGAATGGGCCTACAATTGACAAATGCTTAAATAATGTATCAATAAATCCATCATTCTTTTTCTAGCTCTATTTATAGACTTTTTACCTGCAAAAACACAGCCATTTCTGGTTCTTCCATGAACTGGATTCCTGATTCAACCAGTTTTGACACAGCTTCCAAGTGATCCGCATACTTCTTCATCAGGGAGCGGACATGCTCCAGTTTCTCCTCTTGGGTTCTAGTGATTATTTGTGTCATCTCATTTTTTCTTTCTTCCAGTACAGAATAGAGATAATCAAATTTTTCACACAACTGTTCTTTCTGTCGTTTGCAGCATTCCTGTGAATCATTTGGTTTATGTTAAACATGTTATGTTCTTAAAAGGGTTTCTATTTTTACAGTTACTTGGAAGCATTTTCATCAAAGAAATTCCTCTTTCTGAACAGTGCAAAGGATTCTGAATGACCCCAGAGACTTTTATAATTTTCAAAGTCCAAGCTGTTGGAACAAAAGTTTAAAAACTCTTCTCAAACTCTGAGTTTCAAGCCACTGAAAGCCCCCAAACAGGTTATTGTATAACTTGTGAGTCTGCTAAAAAAAGTAAAAAGGTATTTATGATGTCTGTGGTGATACATCAAAGTCTGCAGAAAAAGTAAAAGCTCCCACCGTATTAGCAGCTGGGTCCATTTGCGTGAACAGAATGGTTTTAAAAGGAGCGAGCATCTCAAACAGCTCTGGAGAATTTTCTTTTTCTGCCAGAGTGCCTGGAACAATCCTGGCTGGGCTTGATTTTCACATACGCCCTCTTAGACTCTATTTGGACAAGAAGTGTCCATTTTATTCCATTTACTGTGCACTGAATGAGGTAGAGGTTCTGCAAAGAAAATGGTGTGTGACAGAAGCACAAAGACAAGAAGGAGGAATCAGATTCCAACTGTATGCTCAGGCCCTGATTTTCACATCGTTTCTTGAGACATTTCTATTGTCCCTCCAACCAGACAGCAGCATCTTTCACTGAGTTAGGAGGATGGGTTTGATGACTGCTGCATTGAGCACTCTCTCAAAAGAACAGACTGCACTTGTAAAGGAGGATTTATGGGGAGGAAATGGGGGACAGATTATATATAATGTCTGAGGTCTACCAAATAGAAGTACTTGAGTCATCTGTGTGCCCCAGGGCATGACTTTATTGTGGTTATGACCTGATTGTGGATGGTGGTGATTATTTAAATCTCTTTCCTAGGAACTGAGGCGGAATTGATTCCTCATCTTTGTCCCTTGAGGCATAATGCTGACATTCTGGCAGCACAGGATTATTAACACCTTTACAGAACTTTAGGTAGTGGTAAGACTTATTCACAGCACTTGGCCAGAGAGAATCCCACTTATTTCTTGACTTCCAGCCAGAGCTCATCTATGAGTGGTATCATGAGCTCTGTACCCTTGAAAGGAGAAAGCTTTTCAAAGATTTACATTTGGCTAAAAATCACTGTCTGCATGAGGGTGGAGAGGGGATTGAATGCACATCTTGATGCATTGACCCAAGTATCCACCTCTGCCTCCCAATGAGGAGTGCTAGGCTAAACAGGCACTCCTTGCAGGGGGTGCAGGCTTGTCCTGCCCTTCTGGGAGTCCTTGTCACTTCCCAGAAATAACTGATTACTGCAATTACAGGCACCCAACAATTACAATTACAACAATTACAGCCCCCACAGGGTGGGGTTAAGGAAGTTTTCAAACCAAGTGGGTCATGGTTTCTGAGTGTCCTTCTATGTTCAGACCTCAAATAATCTTCTCCCACTCCTCTCCTAGCTTTCTCTCCATGAAATGTCATTCAGATCACTTGTAAAGCAACCTTAATTTCGAGACAGGTGTGTGCTATCTTTGTCATTTGACACAGGACAAATGTTCGGGGAAGAAGAGCAAGCAAATGATAGCAGGGTTCTCTGAGAGATCCTTCCCCATCTTTAAGCACTAATAGATAGTATTTCCTGCCAGCAGATATTACAGAGCTGTGAATCTCATGAGTGAGAGTGCAAAACAGGTTTCTAACTGCAAATGCTGGAATATTTCTGAAATATTCTCTTTCTGCATAAAAAGTTCCCATATGAAGCCTCTGCCTGATGGAATTACTCTAATCAGATTCTGTGTAATGAAAGAGGTTAACAAATACATGACTTTGCATTCTAAAAAGTTCTCAGTCTTTTTGTTTTTTAAAGCACAGCTACATCAAAAAGAAAGGAGTCCTTGCTACTGAGCATGAATCTCACTGCTTGTTCCAAAGGACCTGTATTGACTGGCCAATGCTCTTAGCATTGAAAAAACACTGTAATTTTTCCTCTGTTATTAGACTAATTTACAGAGCTAAACAGAACTTAATTATTGATTATAGTTTTCTGGTATTTAGCATTTTATATTCCTTTCTCAATTTTCAGTATAATATGTGAATTAGGTCAACTTTTCAATCAGTTAAAAGTTGTACAAGTATTTTTTTTCTTTTCTGGTTTATAAGGTTGGACAGGAGCAGTGTCTAAATGTAGAACTGTAGACTATTACTGATTCCAGCTAAAGGGAAAATGATCATTTATTTTCTGCTAAAGCAGATATTTATTGTTCTCTGCAAATTGTTAAGCAGAAAGAAGAGACAATCCTGGATTGTGTTATTTCCATGGGTAAACATTTCTGAGTTCCAGCTGTAGTCTCTTGTCTTCAAGGACAAACTGATGTCAACTCAGACAAAGCTCTTGCATAGTAGGAAATGTGATTTGCTTGAAATGTAACATGGAAGTGCCAAGGTAAACTCCAAGATCTGTGTTCTGCAATCTTTGTCTTTAAAGGTGAAAAGCCTGATAAAACATCAGAAGGTAAAATGGCTGCATTTTTTTGGGGCTTTGACTTTAAAGGTTAGATTTTAAACTGAGTGGATGACTCTGAGGAAGCTAGTTTCAGAAACTGTTGTAGTTTTTAGGTATTTTTAGCACAGTGTTTTCTCCATACTTCAAACTAGGTGTTTGAAGATTTGTTTCTGGTTCAGCTAGTTCAGCTTAAATGAGAGTAAGCTTTTGTTTTTGTATAATTCAAATTGCTGCAGTTAACCTACTTGAAAGGCTTGTTTCTGTCTGCAAAGTCGTGATAGCAGCTAATTTCATCCTTGCAGAGTGAAGGCTTCCCAACTACAAAGTTCTGACTCTGCCCAAGCATTAATGTGCTCTCTCTTTTACTTGGGCCAGTGGGTTTGTGTTCTTTGAAACAAACTCAGACATTTTCTGTTTCTTCTTGCTTGGAATTGTGTACATAGATTGTGTAATTGTTTTTTCTTACTTACTTACTAGAATCTGTACATCTTGGATTAACTGATTTTTCCTTACCATGTCTCCTTTCTGCTCCATCTCTGAAGGGTCAATATAATTCTAATTGGGCTGAGAGGGATGCGACTTCTTCACTAGATGCTTCATCAAATTCTGATCACAAAATCAATTAATATGAACTCCATTCAGCCTATTGTCCTGTGATGCTCAGATTGGTCAAAGTTGATGTTTATATTTGCTTTGCTGATATAAAGCTCTCAAAAAAAGTGAAAGCCACTTCTGCTATTGAATAACACAAAACTAATTCCAGCTCTCCCAGAGTGAGGCCTTCACCAGAAAGTCCAGTAAGAGCCCAAACTCTTCTCTCCCATGAGCAACAAAACAAGACTCCTTAGAGGACACCATATTAAAACACTACTTCTGTGCAGAAGGCAAAGCAACCAAATACAGAACAAATACTGACATACCTGTGGACCATGCTGTGCCTACCCTGTGGCTGAGACTAAGGCTCTGTTTACAGGACCTGTCAGACTTCAGACTAACTGGTCTTTTATGTAAAGGTCTTACATGGTCTTAGATGAAAATCTAAGAATCTGATCTCAGATGTTAAAGGAGCTGGGAGTTGATGGCATTTTTGTGGATCTGCTTTTAACTTCAGTGAGATCCTATTCCACTAAGAATATTGAGCAAGACTGCTGATATGGATTATCCTTACTCTTTACCCCCCACCATATAGCAAAGGTCAGAGGTGCTGAGCAGGATGTACCCTTTGGTTGAGGCAGCACATCTTGGTAATGTACAAAGCCACGAGGAATGGTTTAGTGAAACAATGTGGGAATGCATGTGGGTAAAGTGAGGTCTGTTGAAGAATGATCATTTAAGAAGATTAAAAGATGCACTGTCACACTGAAATAACTGCATTTAAAGGGGTGGCACCTACCTCAACCGTCTTGCAGGTCTCCTCCAGCTGTGTGACAATCCCTTGCATTCTGTCATTGCTCCCCACCAGGACTGCAATGCCATCACTCAGCTCAGACTAGGCAGTAAGGAGAGAGCAAGCAGACGGATGTTAGGTGCTGTCACACTTCAGGGGGACGCATCAAACAGTGGGGAGCAGGGGACAAATAAGCCATACCCTGGATATTACTTCATCTTTCCACCAGAACTGAGAAAAATTGGAGCTTTATGCGCCCACAAGATACCTGCTTGTATTTTGACATTTGTTTCCCCCCTCCACATGCTATGAAAACATTGACATTTTGGAATTTTTAGTGGAGAAGAAACTGTGGTTTGGAAAGAGGGAAGAACTTTGTTCTAGGAAGTTCCTCTAGATGCTTTTGTCTGAAGTGCTGTTTCAACAAGCTCCAAATATTTCCTTTGGGTTTGTTGAGGGAAAAGACTCTTGAGGGGTTGTTTTTTCCATGTCTGGGTCTAGCCACACCACTGTGGTATTTCCCTGAGGACTGTAGCTCTTGGCCTTGGAATAGAGAAGAGGTGGCCCATGGACCTGGAGCAGCCAATGTGTTACAGAGTCCCTGCCATGCAGGCAGTGGGGTTGGAGTTGTTGGGGTGGTTGTTGGGGTTGGAGTGAGAGGGGACAGGAGAAAAGGAGGAAAAGAAGGTAGAGGCTGAGCCACTGGCATGAGGGAAATGAGTGGAGGAAGAAAATAACCTGAGTGTGGGCATGGAGATGATTATGAGGTATCCCTAAGAGAGACAAAGAAGCCAGTCCTAGGGAACTTGGAGAGGGTGATGGGGAGTGCAAAGGGCCCTAGGCACACCACTGTGGTAACAGAGACAATTGTGTTCATGGCCTCCACAGCTCTGTACAGGATCCTTTGAGACCTCCACAGCTCTGTAAAGGCTCCTTTGAAGCATGCATCCTGCAGCCTCCAGGTTACGCCTCTCATCTTGGGTATGAAGCCTCTTTCCATGGGCCCTCTGGAAAGGAAGACACTGCTTGCAAATCTCCATGCAAAATGAGTGATTGCTGGCATGGATTCAGTCCAAAAAACTTCTCCTTCCTCTCACACCTTTTTTTTTTTTTAATTGAAAAGGATGTTTTTAACTCCTTTCCTAAAGTAACTTCTCATTTGTAGTTTACATGCACACATGCATCTGTGTGACGAAGTTGGAGGCTGGGATTGCAAACTTGGCCTGTCTGATTGCTTGCCCCACTGGGGCCCTCCAGAAAAATGAGCTGTTTATCTCAGGAGGATAACCCAGTGAGTCAGGTTTTAAATTAACACTGTATTAAAAATAAACAAGTCTTTTATTGGTGACAGCAAGGGCAGAAGATGTTAGGTACATCCTGTGCTGCCAACTATTGAATATTCCTTCATTCACTTGCAGGAGGAGGTTTTTCACTTAACTTTTCTTAAAAATGGCATGCTTAAATGTAAAAGTGTCTGACAGATAACTATTTGATTTGAAATGGTCTGTTCTCTTTCCAGTTCTTAATGTTGAAAATACCACTTGTTTGTCTCATCTAAAAGAACTGCAAAAAGGGATTAGGAACTCAAAAAGAGAAATCCTCAGCTCCACATCAAAATTGGGACAAATTGTAGTATATTTTTGTGTGATCTCTCATAAATTTATTTTCCTGTGTTTCTAAATAGTTTCACAGATTTATAGGAGCCTTTCAGTCACACACACGAGTGGCAAAGACAACCCCAGACCCTTTTGGAAACTCGCAGGAAGGTCATGGGAATACCTTCCTGCTGATGGTCCTGTCGGTTTCTTCAAGTACTTTGAGAAACAAAAAGATATTTACCTTCTGTTGCTGGTAAACATTTGTGAGGGGAGCAACCTGACAGTCTTTGTGGGCACCAAAGATTTTGCACAAGGAGCAGGTGGGCATTTCACAGTTCAAACAATAAATATTAATTCTCTCATCTTCGTGCTCTTCGCACATTGGCTGGTCACACTTCCTTTCAGGTCTGCAAAAGAAAATATTTGTTTAAAACAAAGATGGTGCTCATGAGTTTCTGATATCATCACTTAAGAGTGTTAGCTTGAAATATGGTACATTTGTATAGCAGCATCCAAGGTTGACTGAATACACAGCGTAGACTTAAACCTGCCCCATGGGATGACTAAAGAGACAATGGTACAGCTTAATACAGCTCAAATGACACAATATGATGTGATGATAAGACAGCAACACGACTTCGTATAGGGATTCCCATATGAATGAGGAATGTGACTGGGAGTGTGACAGAATGCTTGCTCATATTTAAAAATTCAAATAACCTCACTAAGCCTGGCCTCAGACTACTCATGTATTTTAATTAGCATGTTATCTAACATCTGTCTGAAATATGAAACATATGTAATTTCTTTCTGGTTCATCATGCAAATTGTGCACTTGGCTTAATGCAGCAAAGCTGTTATGGGGAAGACTGATTTAAGCAAGAGTTGAAGATGCTGATGAACCTTTAGGCCTGTAACTCTAAATCTCTGCTGCTGTGCTTTGTGAGGCCCTGGTCAGGACTGTCAATATCAAACAGCACTGGGTCCTTACAGCCTTTACATTAGGCCAGCAACCAAAGCAAGGTGTCACACAAATTGATTTCAGCGAGGTGGCACATGTCTAACTTTACAGTGTCAAATGTTTTAGCAGTAGTTTATTCATCTGTACCCAGCAGAAAGCACATGGGCTACACAAGTGTTCTTCTCCTGTGCTAAGCCAGGAACTGTCGCCACTTTATAGCTCAGTCTGGTCTTCTCTTCACCAAAACCATTTGGCTGTATACACACAGGTCTGCACAACCTGCTATCTTAGGATAATTTAGTTGTAGCTTCCTTCAGATGAGCCACTTAACCAACATTCCCAGTGCCAGTGCCAGCTCCGGTCTCGTGTGTGTGGGCAGCGTGGCGCTTTCCTGAGCCCACACTTCAGGCTTAGCACCCTGAGCACATCTGTGGCAAACACGAGTGTGTAAGCATGTGGTACAGAAGACAGGGGCCAGTAAACTCATGGAAAGAGTGTGTCTGTGATTCAAGTCTTCAAAAGCCACCACTGTTACTGTGGCAATGTTAAATGTTTTCAGCACAAACCACTATCCCCTTCTGATGTTGTTTGGAAAGAGAACTATGACTTACCTGTAGCAAGTGGAACAATGCCATCATATAAATATTTTTTTCATCATTAGAAACTATGGAATTCAATGGAATTACATGGGAACATTTTTTAAAGCCTTTCTACAGTGCTCTGTAGCAAGGATGCAACCAGCCATTCTATTAAAGCTTAAAATGTATGGGGGGAAAATATCATTATTTTATATTAAATTAAGTAGAGTTTTTCCATACCATTTGGTAGAGTGGATATGGCATTTAGTTTTTAATGACAAAGTACAGATTTTCTCTTCTGAAGGGAATGGAATATGATCAGTTTTATGTATTAGAAAAAAAAATCTAGCAAGAAGTAAAATGTCTCACACATTTGTGGGGCTTTTTTTAATTCAAGAGTGCCCTGGGATTAAAAGGGTTCATAAGGAAAATCCATAATCTGCCATATAACATGATATTTCAGAATAAAACAAGGCAAACACTTCTGAAGAAAGTCTGTATTATTTGGGTCAGATTTCCAGCATTCATTAACACAAGGCACTTTGTCAAATCGAGCATTGTTTCAATGCTAGTCAAAAGGGGCGTGTCTCCTCCATAAAAGATGCTTTACATTGTTTGCAGATTACTGCAAACAGCCCCTAATATATTCATGTCATAGTGCACCAGTGGGAGGGCCCACATGTGAGTGCAATACAATGAATTTCAAAGTGATTAATTAAGCCTGAGATAGCAGCTCTTCCTGCAAATATTTACAAGACCAGAGCCAGAAACTACCAGAATTTTATTGGACACTGGAATGGTGCCACTTGCATGAAAGACACATTACATAGAGCAAAAAGGTGACGGTGTCAAGCAAGTTCAGCCAGCAGCAGCCAACCTTCAAAGGTGCCGCAGAGAGCTGGAAGCAACCTGGCAGAACTCCCTGAACTAGTGGGGCCCTGAAGACAGTGTCAGAAGACTAGAAATAAACAGATTTACAATCTCCTCCCCAGGCAGTGCAAAAGGAGGGATTTTAGCACACAACTCCCTGACTTCAGATAGGATTCTCTAGATCTGTGTTGGGGTAGCAGAGGCCAAAACACAACCTCTAAGTTTAAAGTGGAGATTGCTTCTGAAACAGGAGATTAAAGAGTAGCTGATAGGAAAATGACTGTGTGGCTTTAGTTACAGAAAAGGTTCACCGCAACTGTGCCGGTGACCAGAGAAATGTCAGGCTGCTGAAATGTCCTGATACCTTTGTGGTCTCATTCTTGGACTCTTCCCTTTGAGATGCTAAGCCTGTACTTGAGTGTCAGAGGCACTTTCCCATTGAAATTGTGTTTGGACCACACCTGAAGAACTGACTGGGTCCTGGACTGCCCAGTACATGAAGACACTGACATACTGAAAGGAGTCCAGAAAAGGGCCCTGAAGATGATTAAGGGTCTACAGCAGCTCTCCTGTGAGGAAAGACTCAGAGAGCTGGAACTTTCAGCCTGGATCAAAGAAGGTTAAGGGGAATCTTAACAATGACCTTGATCTTATCAATACCTTTGGTTATCTAAATACCTGAATGGAGGGTGTAATGAGGATGGAGTCAGGCACTGTTCAGTGCCAGGACCAGAGGCAATGGACGCAAACTGAAACATGGGAGGTCCCCTCTGAAGATCAGGAAACTTTTTTACTGTGAAAGTGACTGAGTACTGGCACAGGTTGCCCAGGATGGTTGTGGAGTTTCCATCCTTGAAGATACTCATAATGAAGCCATCTGGACATGGTCCTGGGCAACTGGCTCCAGGTGGTCCTGCCTGAGCAGCGGGATGACCAGATGTCCTCCAGAGGTTCCTTCAATCTCAACCATTCTGTGACAGTGACTATAGGTGAGGCAGTGCAAAGTTGCTGGAGACATAAAGAAGCACACTTCATTTAAGAACCTAGTAAACCCTTAGGAAAACTGCTGTTAGCATACTTTCTGTAGGATTTTTTCAAATCCAAAAAGGCCTCTGCTGAAGTGCTGAATCCAGTTATGACAGTGTTCTTACTGAGGAGCCTAGGACAGCTGTAGCACTTGCTGTGGCATGCATCACCTGGTGTCTGCACCTGGTCAGGGGATGGAGAGGATCTGCATGGTTCTGAATCCAGTTATGACAGTGTTCTTACTGAGGAGCCTAAGACAGCTGTAGCACTTGCTGTGGCATACATCACCTGGTGTCTGCACCTGGTCAGCGATGGAGAGGATCTGCATGGTTCTATGAGGCACAGTCAGGTCATTAGTAAAGGTATGAAACTGCATTTGCCAGAGTATCAATCTTGGGCATACAGTGCTAATGACTGGCCTCCACCTGACTTCATGCTGCTCACCACGACCCTTTGAGTCTGGCAGTACAGCCAGTTTTTGGTCCAGGTCACTTTCCACTGTCCACTCTGTCACAGGAGACAGTGTGTAAAGTCTAGATAAACAGTAACTACTGCTCTCCTCTCATGCACTGAGTTAGTCATCTCACTATAAAAGGCTATCAGATTGGTCATGCTGATTTCCTCTTCATAAATCCATGCTGACTATTTCTAATCACCTTCATGTCATTTATATATTTGGAAATGGTTTCCAGGAGGGTTTGCATGAAATACTTTCGAGGGATCAGTGTGCAGGACTAGCCTGTAGTTTCCTTGATTCTCCTCCTTGCATTTCTTGAAGATTGGAGGAACATTTGCTTTCTTCCAGTCCAGTCTACAGGAAACGGTACCAATTACCACAGCTTTTAAAAGATTATTGAGAGTGACCTTGCAATAATGTAAGTCAGCTCCCTCACCACTTATAGATGCCTCCCATGAGGATGTCCAATTTTTTTCTTTATATTCTCTAACCTGATCGCCCTCCACCAAAGGTGAGTCTTCCTTGCTCTAGAATTTCCCACTGGTCTCAGGGTACTATGATTCCATAAAACTCAACTTAATAGTAAAGTCTGAGGGTGAGTACATTGGCCTTTTCTACATTCTGTGTTACATGAGGCCCTGCTCTGTCTTGCAGTGTACTCACACTTTCCCTAATCTTCCTTCTGCTGCTGATGCAGCTGTAGAAGCTCTCATCAGCCTCCATGTCCCTCATCATATTCAGTTCCAGGTGGACCTTGGCTTTTCTAACTTCATCTGCATGTGCTTGGGGAGTGTCTCAAAATCTTGCTGAATCACCTACCTTCTTTTTGGTTCTTTTTTATTTTTTTTTTAATCAGGAGCTCCCTCTTAATCAACACAATTGTTTTGTCACCATTGCTCGAGTTCCTGGATATGGGAATAGACCATTTTGACCTTGGAGGAAGGTGGTCCTTGAAAATCAGCCACAATGATGGACACTCTCAAAAGCAATGAAAAGCCCACCAATACCCAGGGTGGAAATGCAGCCTGAAAAATGAAGAGGCTATAGGAGTTCATGTGGACATAAGGATTCCTGGAGGTCTGTTACACTACTATCATGGATGCCCAGCCCAAGAAAACTAATGGTGCAGGTGAGCTTGGGGCTTTGTCTTATGGGGAATTGGAGAAGATCCAGATGATCCCACTCCTCATCTCTTTCATTGCACAGCTTATGGGGCTCCTCCTCTCTTGGTGACCTGTGGTCACGGAGCAAATTTCCCTGGCCCAGCCTGTCTGAGATCCCCACATGCCCCTGCAACCTGGCCTAGAGAGACACATCCTGCCTTGGGAGCTTGGGCTAAGACCTCGGAGGTGTCAGGGACAGACAGCTCTGGTGATGCTGGCTATGGGGCCCTGCAGGACATCAGCACCATCACAGAGCTCATGCAGGCTGCTCTCAGCACAGCCTGGTCCCTGCTGCACACTCTGCTCCACCCGTGCTGGGGGCTGCAGGGACAGCCTGTTCCTCGGGCTCTCCCTGGTAAATGCAAGGCAGAAAGAGTGCCCCACCCTCCCTGATCAGGATTCAGCAGGTAACAAAGCCCAAAGCACATTTTGATCTGGAATAGCCAGCTGAGATCATTAGAACCTGCCAGATTTCACAAAAAGTCAGAGCCTCCTGTTGCTACCCTTTCCTGGTGACAGCAGGGATCCTGATGTTCCTCAGATAGTTTAGGTGATCAGCAGCCTACAGATTTTCAAAGACTGGTTTAATATTTAGCCAACTCAGTTTCCACTGTTTTCAGTCCTTTGCTGTCTTTTAAAGCTTTTTACAAGCCACCTCCTGCTTGAAGAATTCTTCCGTTGTGTTGCTAACGCATTCTAAATTGGGCAACAGGCTATGCTGCCATCAGCTGGAATTTGATGAGCAATGGGATAAAAGACCATATGATGTGATACTTAGTAATAGGAGGGGCTGCATATGAGGGCTTAGGCGGACTCTCCCAACCTCAGTCCAGCTCCTGCCCCAGTTTTTATTTTAAAAAAACCCAATTTCTTAATTCAAATAGAAAGTCCAATTACAAAAAAATAAAATAAAATAAAATAAAATAAATCAACCAAACCTTTTGAAATAAGCTAGTAAAATCTTGCTCCCTTGCTCCCTTTTCTCTCAGCTCATGTGATATGCAGATGGGAGCTAGCCTCATTCTGGCACATGCAGTTATAGTGAATTATACCCACAGGAGAACTCGATGGGAAGAGGTTCCTGTCTGGAAATCACACGTGCTGCCAGTTTGAAGGGGTGTCTTGGGAAGAACAAGGAGGCCAAGAGGAGGGGCTGCATATGAGGGCTTAGGCGGACTCTCCCAACCTCAGTCCAGCTCCTGCCCCAGTTTTTATTTTAAAAAACCCCAATTTCTTAATTCAAATAGAAAGTCCAATTACAAAATAATAAAATAAAATAAAATAAAATAAAATAAAATAAAATAAAATAAAATAAATCAACCAAACCTTTTGAAATAAGCTAGTAAAATCTTGCTCCCTTGCTCCCTTTTCTCTCAGCTCATGTGATATGCAGATGGGAGCTAGCCTCATTCTGGCACATGCAGTTATAGTGAATTATACCCGCAGAACTCGATGGGAAGAGGTTCCTGTCTGGAAATCACACGTGCTGCCAGTTTGAAGGGGTGTCTTGGGAAGAACAAGGAGGCCAAGATCACATTTCACCCTTCTTCCTATGTATCTCTGCCAGACCCCATTTGTCACAGTGGAAGAGACTGGTATAGAAGGAAGAAGTGGGGAAGAGTTGTTTTCCCTTGACTTTTTGCTTTCAGTGGGACAGCACTGGGAAAAGCCATGAAAGATCTGCTCACACTCTCAGGGGAGCCCAAGGAATGTCAGGCAGAGAGAGATAAGCAGCTGAGGCCCACAAAGGGCTGAATAGTTTAGATAATGCTGCTATGCATTGCTGCTACTATGTAACCCTGACAATGACTTTCATTCTAAGGACATATATGAAGGTTAAATAAGCACTGTAACAAATTAAATAAGCAAGTTTTTGGACAAATATATAAGCAAACCCATGGTCTTTCCCCCCCCCATCCCCCCCCAATATGCCAATATTCTCCTGTTTTTTAAATCTATTCTTACATTTCTACTTAACTGTATTTTGTTCCAATTCCCCATGAACTACACAGGAAAGAGGACCTGCCTTTTTTTTTTTTTTTTTTTCTTCCTTTAAATACATCTGTGAGCTGAAAAAAAAGCAAAACCAAGGCAGACATGAGGACACACATGTCCAGCTTATTTGATCAAAAGCAAAGTCCACCCTTGCAGCTTTGTTGATTCATTTCCTCCGAGATTTTCCTGACTAAAATAATATTTGAGTATCAATGACACACACGGGGGTAGCTGACCTTTACTTGGCACAGAGCGCAAAGGGCAGCAGAAAGGACAATTTTAAGCCAACTTCGTGCTCTCCAGTGTTTTGGAGCTCCAACCTATGCCCAGCTGCCACAGTCCTCAGAGAGATCCAAGGAGTTGAGAACAGCCAAAGCCACCGTCAGGCTCTATCTCTCTGCTGGTGACTGTCCTTCTCTGCTGGAGGAAGCATCCTCAGCCATCCCAGGGACTGGGTTCTGGTGGCTGTGTCCACCTGCACCTGTGATGCCATCTCTCTGTCCCTGGGAAATCCAGCTCCTTGTTGCGGTGGGATCAGAAGACTGTCAGGGAGCATGGCCAGGATTACACCTTCCAGGTGAACAAAACACCTTGCCATACAGAGCCAACTCTTAAGAATCCATGCTGGTGACAAAAAACAGCTTCCCTGGGTGAGAGCTCCTTGGGGCTCCTGGTGGCCTGGGGCTGGGTTAACTCCATCATAGAATCACAGAATTATAGAATGGGGTTGGGTGTGGAAAAGACCTGAAAGATCTTGTAGTTCCAATGCCTCTACCTTGGGCAAGGACACCTTTCACTAGCCCAGGCTGTGTGAAGCCCCATCCCTCCTGGCCTTGAATGCTGCCAGGGATGGATCATCCACAACCTCTCTGGGCAACCTGTGCCAGTGCCTCACCATCCTCACAGTGAAGAATTTCTTTCTATATCTAATCTAAACCCACTGTCTTTCAGTTCAAATCTTTGTCCTATCACTTCATGCCCTTGTCAGAAATCCCTCTGCAGCTCTCTTGTAGGCCCCCTTTAGGCACTGGAAGGTGCTCTAAGGCCTCGCCAGAGCCTTCTCTTCTCCAGGTTGAACAACTCCAACTCTTTCAGAAGAGAGATGCTCCAGCCCTCCGAGCACCTCTGTACTCCTCCTCTGGACTCACTCCAGCAAACCCATGTCTTCCTTGTGCTAAGGACTCCAGAGCTGGATGCAGTATTCCAAGTGGGTCTCATAAGAGCAAAAAGAGGGAGAAGATTATCTTCTTCACCTTCTCCCTACTAAGTTCTCCACAGCGGTATCATGAATCCAACCCATCCCAAGGAAAAAAGGATGAGAACACATTTTATCTGTTTCTGGATCCACTACACGTCAAATGCAAGAAATTACCATTCAGGAGTAATCTTACTTTTTCAAATTGACCTATTCCTCTGCCCTGAGGTCTCTCTTCTTGTGCACAGCCACACAGTTCTGGAATGGAGCAGTTTGTTAACTGCTCTTCCTTCTCTTTCATGGACTCATAAATAACACTTGATTTCGTAAGTTCACATCCCAAACTAACAGGAATGGAGATATTTTTAACAGAATTTTCATTTGGCATTATGATGCAGAGTACCTTCTGTGTGAAATTCAGTTTTCTTTCTGTTTGCACTGTCTGTACCTGAGGATTTTCTAATAAGATTTGAAATTTTTTCCCTTCTTTAGCATGAGAATGCACAAATAATTGTCTGAACTGTTTTTGCAATAAATTATGTTAACCAAGATACTTTTCTCTTAATCATATTAGTAGCTGTGCTGACCTCAAGGGCCTTGCTTGCACAGGTAAGTGTTGCTCATGTGAATAAATATGGCCCAATCCCCTGCTGTAAGTGGAAACAGAGAAGCTCAGCATCTATTTGGGTAAAGTTTTCTGTCCTCAGTGAGAGCTGACTTCATGGTGCAGCAGACAGTCAGACATGGCAGCACAACCCCTTTCTGCTTTTCCAAGAGACAAAATGACTAAATCAACCTCTGAAGGACACACAGTCCCTTGTTACCTTGTGGACTCCTGCTTGTAGATGTCGATGATGTTCTCCACCAGCAGGTTCCTCTGCAGCCCGTAGACGCCGTGTCGGTCCAGGACCACCTCGTGCCGGCAGGAGGGACAGCGGAAGCGGCCTCCCGACGCCACAGTTGTGCCTCCCCTGGTCGGCAGGTAGGGGTTGGAGGCCTGTTCTTGCCAAGCAGCACAAGGAGAGGAAGGTACGGCCATGAAAAACCATGAAAGCCTCTTCCAAAAGCACCAAATGGTAGGAAACCATTTGTCACTATGCCCAATGAGAGGGTAATTCCGACACGTCACCCCTGGGAAAGCAGCTGGTGACTGCTGGGCGTGGGGCCAGTCCCACAGCTCACGCTCGGCCATGTCACCACAGCCAACAGGTGGCACTTTCACCTGCTGGGAGCTCAGCTCTGGCACCCGGATACATCAACTTTGGCCTTAAATCACTCCCCCCAACCCTGTCTCACCAACTGCTAAAAGTGATCTACCAAAACATGTAAAAAATCTTCTTTCCCATTCATTCCAGCCAGTCCTGCTTGGGAAGCAGAGCTGTCTGTGGGAAGAAACCTACCTGGAAGATGTCACTGGCGCACTTCCGACAGAGATTGTGCTGGCAGGGCAGGATGACCACTGGCTTGGTGAACATCTCCAAACAGATGGGGCAGATCAGCTGTTTCTCCAGGTTATCCATAGTTTGCTGCTCTTTGGAGAACGACTTGTAGCTCAGGGAGGTGCTCATCCCTAGCTTTTCCTGGGGCATGCGCTCAGGGCCACGGCCTTGTGGAGAGGTTTTGGGGTAAATTTCCCCTGAAATAGGTCCGAGGCTGGGCTGCGATCAGAGGCTGTCTGTGCTGCTCGGGCCGGAGGACATTGTTTGAGCGAGGGGCCGAGCAGAGCCGGGCTGTTTTTAGCAGCGCTGCGTCACGAGCTGCCGTCCTGCCGTGCCCATATATGCGCGTGAGAGCAGGACAGGCTGGGACAGGTGACGGCTGCCGGGGAGGGGGGAGGCCAAAGAGGCCCTGGCTCTCCTCACTCACACATGGCAGCCTTCACCCCTTGAGGAGTTGTGGGAGTGATAAGCAAAGGCCATCTGCTCCCTTCCCTTATCTTTGCAGGTCAATGGAGACCGAAGGGCTTGCCCCAGCCTGTGCAGCCACATCCTGCAGCCTAATAGACATTCTGTTGTGAGCGAGCAGCTGTGGCCACGACAGGCAGGATGTAGTTTTGCCCATGTGTTTTGGGAGGCTCCTGGATCCTACCTTTCCAAGATGTGGAGTACATATGGCTACTGGAGAAGACAATAGGAGTGATGGCTGCTCTGGAGCTTGAACACTTCAGGGTGTAAACATCTCACCACCTTGAAAACCAGACTGTCGGACAATTCAGACTTGTTGTGAATTATAACGTCTGTATTGTCTCACCCTTCTCATGAGACTGAAAATAGAATAAAAGTTTTTAAAAACCCTCTGAGTTGCCCCATCTTTGAGTCAGAAAAAGGTATAATCTGACACCAGACAAAGAAAATTGCCCACCTATAACTGTGCTTGAGTTTGTTCTGGTAAGATTTTGGTCTTAGGCGCGATAACATAAAAATCCAACGTGACTTTGTGCCATTTGTGCACATTAACTCCACGGGCAGGTTAAATATGCATGAAGAACATTTGAATTTCCTGATGAGAAAAAAGCCAGAAGAAATACAGTGTGAAAGGCTTTCATTTGTGCTGCTGGAGAATAGGTACTAATTGTATATGCTCTCTCTCTGATAGTTTGATTCAAATATATTTTAGTTTTGGGCACTGCTGTGTTTATATCTGTTTATTAGACACTGATATCCCTTTCAGCTTGGCACTTGTTCCAGAGTTATTTTTAAAATGACAATTTCCCAGATAATTTGTGACATGTGATGCCTGATCTTAAGGGAAAGCCATCTGTGCTTCTAGTTGCCAATAATTTATCACACAACTGTACAAGCAATAAATATCTCATCTTCAAATTTAAGCCAAAGTCCCTGCACTACTGTATAAAATCACTTTGCCACCATACTGTACATGTAATCAGAATATTTTCTTCTCTTTCAGTCAATAACTACAATACTTTCTCAGTTCAGCGTCTTGTAGAAACCTTTAATGTTTATTCTGCCTTATGACTGTATAGGGCTTGCATCTGAAAAATGCAGTAGAGCAGCTGAGTGAGTGCCCCATGCATCCAGGGACAGACCCCAGTTCTAAAGCAGGGCCCTCAATCTGCATGCAACACCAGTCTGTGCACTTCAGGAAAATGTAAAAGTGAAGGCTTTCATGGATTTTTGCATGAAAATGAATACTATCCTCTGCATGCAATTTTAATAAATAACATTAAATTAAATGTATTATTGACTATTTTATTTTCATTGCCTCACATACTTAAGTGTTTGAGTGAACTGTACTCATTTGCAGCCCACCAAGCTGCAAATTCTCCTGTGTAAACTTACACACATTTGTCAGCAGTCCCTTAGAAACAAATAGATTTTTATAAGTCTTGCATTCACGGGAAATTAGTCACAGCTTAGTTAAATCCACTTGAAATCACACCTTTGCTTCGACTGCCTGGTGTGGACAAGAGCCTGGAGTCCAGTGGGAGAAGCTGCTCTGGCAGCTGAGCTGTGGACAGCTGGGGCTTTTGGCAGGGCTGGCAGGGAGCCTTCCCTGGCAGCAGCAAGAAGATATTTCTCTTCTTTCCCTCCCCTCATAGCTGGGTCAGAGGTGACTTTTGCATCTGGAGGAATCTGAATGCCTCATTCTTGCTCTCCTCGCTTTGAGTCAGCTGCCCCTTGCACAGCAAAACCTGCTTCAATAAGGGGCTCTGAATTAGATGAGGAAATTAGATGATGCCCTCATCTGGCAGGGCAGGAACTTCCACCTTACTGCACAGGCAGAAACAGAGACATTCTGGAGGGAAAAGCTGAAGGCTAGAAATGTCAGCACACAAAAACACCTGCATACGCTGATGTAGGGAAGGGGGTGTTCATGGCATGAAAAAAAAGCCATGCTGGCTTTCTGGAGAATGAACTGAGGTGCCTCTCAGGTGTAATGTGCCACTGGGATGTGATTCTGGTGATTTTATACTTACCCACGGTAACCCCCAGAAGGCTTCTGCTAAGTGGCTGAGCAAGACATGTGATGCATCTGCAGGGGACATCTGGTGGCAACAAGGTGAGGGACAGCGTGCTGCTGGCTTTCCCCTTTCTGTGTGCTGAACATGGAACAGGTAACAAACAGCACAACCAAAAAGAGAAGTCAACAAAACAAAGATAAACCCATCTTTTGCAACCAGGCCTGAGCTGAAATATTTTTCTGGCAGGACCATGTAGTCCAGACACGTGAAAAATTAGTATCGGTTTTTCTGACAAGGTATTGTGAGCCATAGTAATAAATTACAGGTAAAGAAATGCAGAGGCTTGACCACACTTGCAAAGGCAGGATGAGAAGTGCCAGGAAAGCCACACATTTTATGACCACTCTGCAAGAAAGAGGAAGAGAAGAGCCAAGTCCAAGACACTGAGGAAAAACAGGAAGATCCTGCAGCTGGTCTTCTGCAGGGACTGCTTAGGATAAGCTTCAAAGAACTCACACTGAGAAAGAGCCTGGACCCTCCTGTCTCTCCCTGGCAGCCCTGTCCCCCTCCTCTTCCTCCCCTTCTTCTCCTGCAGGGGAAGGCCACCAGCACACACAGCTGTCCACCTCTGAAGAGTCACCAAGTCAAGCCATCTCTCAAGGGACAAACAAAGGGCAAGAGGACTTGCTTTAACACCCCTCCTGGACAGAAAATCTAGACGTCTGCAAGAAGAAATTTTTTTTTTCCAGTATTGCTTGTCTGGGAGTGTTACCTGGCTTTGTTGACATAACCAGAACACTAATTCCTAAATATAGGCTTGCTTTTACAGACATTACTTCTAACTTCTCTATTTTGCAGCTGAATAAAAGCTTGTGGCCTGTGGACTGATTGTCTGGAACCTGGAAAGCTGGCTGCAAAGCAATGGGCTTAGGAGAGGGATTTGGAGGAGGAAGGAGAGGTTGAGTGATGTCCAGGTTCAGGTTTCAATGCCATAATGACATCTCTGGGTTTTGCATTCACAGAATTCCCCTCTTCAGCCTCTTATCTTGTATCAGAGTTGTGAAGCTCTTGTGTGTCACTCAGAAAATCAGCCCTGTGGCTCTCTTGCATGACTGGAAAACAAAGAGAAAAATCATATTTTGGCCAGAGGATGCTGTCAAAAACATGCTCCCACATGAGTTGTTTCTCCAACAAGCCTGCAGAGACAAAGTGCATTCTGCAAGGAGCAGACTCCTTGTCCAGGCATCCTGTCCTGAAGGTGGTGGGTGGTGAGAAGCATCCTGGTCCATGGGGTGACAGTGCCTTGGCTTGCTGCCACCCACCTTCTGCCTGTCCTGAGGGGTGAGCAAGCCCCCTGCCACCCAGCCCAGGAGTGGGCAGACCTCTACACTGGCAGCTGCCTAAAAGAGCTGGGAGCTGCCCATCATTCCTGGGCAGGGATCAACACCCACCCCCACCCCGCTGCCTCCAGCAGCTCCCCACACTCCTGAGGCTGGTGGGACTCACCTGCAGCTTCCCACAACAGCCCAGCTGCTGGAAGAGGACAGAGCTGGTGGGTGCCTGAGCAATACAACATCCTAACAAAAACGAGGTTGCCATCTCCAATTCTGTCCACCCAAATGTGAGACTTAGGACAAAATGATGATACATCCTTCCCCTCTTCCCATAATGCTACCTCTGCTTGTTGTTCTGGCTGAAAAGATTTGCATTTTTAGCCAAGCACTCCTCGGGGAGGCTAGGGGAGGTTCTCCATCAATCTCACCTTTGGTCTGTGCCATTTATCCTGCCGAGAACAGTCCCTCGGGAGCGGGTGGCAAGCACCGGCATTCCCACCTACAAGCGAGCAAGCTGCAGAGACTCAGATTTCACTTACATTGGCAACAACTTAAAGAGCCGACAAGCCAGCTATAAGATGAAGCCCTCCTACCTATACAAGCGCAAACTGCAAATTATATTTTGCATTTCATGATTTTATTGTGATGGATATACACGCCATGATAAATACTGAGACTACCCTTGTGTGTGACTCAATTTACGCAGCCAAAGAGAGCCTTTGCAACAGAGACAAGTGCTTTCAAAAACACTTGAGCCTTTGAGACTGACATTTTTTCCACTCAACACACACACACACACACACACACACACACACACACACACACATATATATATATATATATACACATCTTTGTCTTTGTGTACCTCATATGTGATGACAGGCCATATGCGGTCAGTATTTGGAGACCTTCTAAAAACAGTCTGAGGGTAGGTTTCAGATCTCCAGGAAAACAAAGACCAGCACAGGAGATAATGACATCTTTAGAAAGCTTCTTTTGCACATATAAAATCACACTAGAAGAGGAAAACTCAAAGCATTTCCAAGGGTGAGTCACTGGGAGCACATCAAATGTATGGGACTTGAGATTTCAGGAACCAGCTACAAAGACCAGACAGAGGGAGGATGTCTGCTCTTTTCTTTTTAACACAGTATGGACACTGCCCTGAGCTGAACTGTGCTCCAAAGCAGCCTTCCCTGGTTTTATCCATACTCAAGAACCTTCCATGGTTTGTAGCAAACTGGGAGAAACATGGGATAAAAGGGGGTATGAATTAAGAGAATAACTTCTGTTCCAAATTAATCAGTGGCACCAACATAAATTATAGCAGATAAATCTTAGAGATTTGGATTAAAAGACCCTGAAACAGTGAGAGTCTCTGGACAAACTGTATCAAAGACTCATTCCTGCATGCTGTGGTTCTGCCATCATAGTGACACCGAGACATGAGATCACTGCCCCACCTGTCTGCCTCGC